AAAAAAAAAAAAAAAAAAAAAAAAAAAAAAAAAAAAAAAAAAAAAAAAAAAAGTTTCTTTGCTCGAAACATTTTTCATTAAGCAAATTTTATTCGCAAACTTTTTTTTATAATTTCACGTAATAAACCTGTATTTTTGCACAACCTGAACAGTAAAAAAAAAAAAAAAAAAAACAACAAGAAAAAAGAAAGAAAAAAAAGAAAAAGAGAAAGGAAAAAAGGAAAAGAGAAAACGAATAAGCCTTAAAATATCTCAGAAAAATGGCGTAATCGATTATTAAATATCATTTAGGAATTTTTAATCCAACCTATATATACTCTTTTACCTCTTTTGTTTCTCACCTTTTTTACTTTTCTTGTCTTTCTTGTCTTTCTTTCTTTATTTCTTTATTTCTTTATTTATTTATTTATTTTTCTTCAACCTCCGTTTCACCATCTTACTCAATATATTTATTACTCTATAATATTTACTTCATATACGCGTACTCTTTATCGTATCATCTCTCTCTCTCTCTCTCTCTCTCTCTCTATCTCACTCTTTCCTTTTTTCTTTCTCTCTTTCTTTATACTTTTCTAACCGTTCTTTTTTTTTTCCTTTTTTATTTTTTTCTTTGTAACCTCCGTGTCGCGAATTTTCCGCGTTCGTTAATCCCTCGTAGGTTTCTCCTATGTGATCAACATTTTTCGAGTATTTTACTCTCCCCTCTTCCCCCGACCCCTTCCCTCTCCATGCCCACCCCCCTCCCTTCTTTCCCACTCTTTCTCTCTTGTATGTTAATCCCAGAAGTTCGCAAAATCTTTTCCCGTTCGTTTACCGTATTCGTAGGCAGTGGAGCCCTGTCTGTACAATATTCCAAGCACGAATTTAAAAGCTCGCTCGCACGTTACTCGTTCTCTCTTTTCGTTCGTTTCATTACCATGTTCTGTTTCACCCCCGTACCTCCCTCTCCGTACCACTCTCTCTCTCTCTCTCTCTCTCTCTCTCTCTCTCTCTCTCTCCGTTTCTTTCTTTCTCCCTGGTATCACATATACATACGTTACCTACGTTCCCTAGTCCAGTATTTTTTTTCTTTCGTCTTTTTTTTTTTTTTGTTTTTTCCTCTCTTTTTTTTCTTTATACATATATATGTATATATATATATATATATATATATATATATATATATATACATACTCAAGCAATATCCCAACGCACATGGTCGACCTAGGAAATACTGCAAAATCTACCGGTCGAGAGTTTAGAGATTTTCTCGGCTAGACTGGTAACCAACGAGAGATCGTAGAGAAGCTTTAGACAAAGACCATGAGAAAGAAGGAACGAGAAAACAAGAATAAAAAGATATAGAGAATAGGGAAAAGAAAAGAAAAAGAAAAAGAAAGAAAGAAAGAAGGGAGGGAAGGAAGGAAGGAAAGAAGGAAGGAAGGAAGGAAGAAATAACGACGAGAAGGGATTGAGAGTAGGGAAGGGACAAAAAGTTTAGGAAAACTTTTTTCGTCGAAAAAAAGAAAAAAAAAAAAAAAAAAGCAAAAGCTTTGCACCTTTCGAAAAGTCTCACATGGGAAATAAAGAATCATGATATCTCGAAGTTTCGAGCATAAATATGAGTGCTTATATACTTATTTATCTATAGAAATGCAAAAGAGAGAAAAAAAGATAAAAAAAAAAATAGATAGAACGAGGTCTTTCATACGAATAAGAAAAAGAGAAAGAGAGAGAGAGAGAGAGAGAGAGTAAAGTAAGTACATGCTATCATCGGTTGTTACTAAGTTACTTTCTTCGTTTTATTATTTATTTGTTCATTCGCTTATTCACTCGTTCGTTCGTTCATTCGTTCATTGTCCATTTTTCATTTTTCTACCGGGTTACTTTTTCTCCTGAGAAACTTTACTCGCTTGATTTTTGTTAAAGTATATTTTTGCAAAGTATACTTTCTTGATCCTTCAATTGACATGGCTCATATGCCAAATATACTCCAAATATATATTCTATTATACTTTATTGTATGTAGGTATGTATGTATACATATGTATGTATGTATGTATGTATGTATGTATGTATGTATGTATGTATGTATGTATGTATGTATGTATGTATGTATGTATGTATGTATGTATGTATGTATGTATGTGTGTGGGTGTGTGAATGTGTGTATGTGTGTATGTAGGGTTTCCTCAACGATTCACTTTTTATTTTATCGAGAATCGATGGAGAAGAATATCGAGGTTACCAGATCGAATGATTTTTTTTTCTTTTTTAGAAGGAAAAAAAAAAAAAGAAAAAGTAAGAAAAGAATTTTTCTCAAATAAATATACAAACAATTGTTTGTTTATTTATTATTTTTGCATATTTTATTATTACATTATATTAATTATTATTGCATTGGCCATTATGTAATTTTAGGATTTATATATATATATATATGTTTTGTTTCTTTAGATAATTCTTTAAATATTATAATGTTTCAATAAACAATATATCCGTTCTCTAGGGTGACATTTATTTTAATATGAAACATTTGAAGTTCTCAATAAAGAAAGAAAAAAAGAAAAAGAGAACAATAAAAAATATAAAAAAATATGAAAAAAAAAAAAAAAAGGAAAAAAAATATGCCTTATAGGATCATTTATCTAGATATAAAAATACCGAACATTGTTTTCAATACAAATCAGTACAATGTGTACAATTTATTTTTATTTGCAAAGAAATATATTATTATTTAGATATGCAATAGAAAAAATTTTTAATTGAAAAAGATACTCAATTTTGTTATAGGATATCAAATATTTTCAATAAAAAAGAAATATGTATATATATATATATATATTAATGTTATTTATTCAGTTATAAATTATCAAAAGTTTCGACATTACTTATTGATCAATCCAATATTTTTTAATAATTTCAATAAAAATTCATGTTCTATTTACGACCCGAGACAAATTTCTTTTTCTTCTTTTTCTCTCTTTTACGCAAGACTCATTATTATCAAAGAGTGTAATTGTAATCAATTAAAAAAAAAAATGTTGTAAATAATGTTGTACAAAACATTGTAAAAAAATCTTAGAAAATCTAATAGCGCTTTCATTCAAACGACAAATATTTTTCTTTTTTTCCTTTTTTTCTTTTAAAATTTCTTTTGAATATTTTCTAACAATGATTATCATTTCACGTAAGTACACACATACATACATACATACATATATACATACATGTAACTCCTAAGGAGATGTATTTTATAGTAATATTTAAGAAAAAAAATTCTTGTACTTATTTCGACGGAAAAAAAAAGAAACGTTTCTTCTTTTTTCCTTTTACTTTTCCCTTCTTATGCGAGATTCATTATAAAAAATAAATAAAAAAAAAATAAAAAAATAAAAATAAATGACTATGAATTAAAAAGGCAAACGTAAGAAATAAATAAAAAAAAATGAAGAAAAAAAAAAATCATAGAAAAGAATCGAGTTAAAGCGAAGAAGAAAAAGAGAAAGAGAAACAAGAAAAAAAAGTGAATTGAAAAGGTTATAAAAAAAAAAAAAAAAAAAAAAAAAGAAAGAAAAAAATAATAATAATAATAATAATAACAATAAAACAAAACATATATCTCGTTGAAGTGAGAAATTAAAGGGAAAAAAAAAAAAAAAGAGAAAAAAAAAAAGAAAGAAAGAAAGAAAGAAAGAAAAATCGAGTGAAGTGAAAGGTAAAAGAAGAGAAAAGGATAGAAAAAGGGAAAAAAGGAAGAAAAAAAAAAAAGATAAATAAGGGATCAACCGTGAATACGTCTACGAGATTTGCTATCAAGATCTCCATTCGTATTCGACCCATCCCTTCCGACTCCCTATTCCACCCCCTTCAATCCTCAACCCCCGTTACTTTCTTTCTTTCTCTCCCAACGAGATCGCTTCAAAGTACGTTAGAAATGTTCTCGCGAGTTCGGATTTTATCGGAAAGTCAAATCCGACATCTCTCTTATGGTTTTCCGTAAAGATGAAAAGACAGATCGCGTTCTGAAGATATCTTTGTAGCAGCAGTATTCCTTTCCTTTACTTTACTTTCCTTTCCGATGACCCCACTTTATCGTACTATCGAAACAGATACTCTTACTTGGTCGATATAAAGATACAGAGATATCGGAAAAAAGTGAATGTGTAATCCGTCTTATCTTTATTTTTATTTTTATTTTTATTTTTATTTTTTTATTTTTTTATTTTTATTTTTTTGTTTTTGTTTTTGTTTTTGTTATTCGACAAAATCTATATATGACAAAGGTATATGAATAAAATGTGTATAACAAAAGGAAATATTCAAAAGGTTCACATATGAGCGATCTTGCAAATGAAAATTAATTAAAAATAATCAAATATACGAGGACTTTTTGTTCGATGTAATTATTCTCTATTTTTTTTTTTCTTCTTCTTCTTTTTCTTTCTCTTTTTCTTTTTTCCTTTCTTTTTCCTTTTTCTTCTTCTACGAACTATTATTAAACTACAATAAGAGCCTCGAAATATATTTATAAGAGCCACGACTTTTTTTATAATTAATGCTTTTCCTTCCTTTCTTTTTTTTCTTTTCTCTCTCTTTTTTTTCTTTACATATATGTATACGTAGTTATGCGTAACACGTATTCACGTGATAACGCGCGACTTTCGAATAAACTCTTTCTCTTTCGCTTGCCCGCAAGAATGCGCAATTTTTCAACAATATTTATTTTCTTTCGGCGTAAAAAAAAAAAGAAAAAAAAAAAGAGAAAAAAGAGAAATAAAACGTTTCAAAAGAAAAAAAAAAAAAAAAGAAAAAAAGCAACCAGAAATCGCGCGATTTTTCAACATTTCTAACAAATTCGCTTATAGAACGAGAATAGTTCGTAACATTTCGTACGAGCCTAATCGATTTGTAAACACGTATTAATGTATTTACGTACATATATCTACATAGGTAAGTATGTATGTATGTATACATGTATTTACGTATGTAAAAAAAAGTAATTGAAATCGTAAGCTCACCTCTCAATGCATCAGCAGTCGTCGCAAGAAGTCCCTGAAGACTCCTGCTGTGATGATGAATCAAATTGTGAAAATCCCTTCCGGCTTTGTGTCTCAAATGATCCTCGACTTCGTGTCCACAGCATGGGGCGTCACATATCGCTATAAAAAAAGAAAAAAAAAAAAAAAAAAAAAAAAAAAAGAAGAAAATAAAAAAACGATATTACAAATTCTATTCCTTCATTTGCATCCTGTCATATTCATATGAATTGTAAAGTGTTAGACGTAACACACTGACAAAACAAACAACATTATTAAAGGCATGAAGTAAAATATTAATAAAAATATTCTCTAACATATAATAAATTAAAACTTGCTTTTAATCTGACGATTCGAAATGCATTTTCTCAAATAGAAAAACTATTGTGACTCAAAATAAAAATTAAAAAAAAAAAAATGAATGAATGAATGAATGAATGAATGAATGAATAAATGAAATAAAATGAAATAAAAACGTCATTGTAAAGATCTATCGAATGACATGTCAGTCGATTTGAAAAAAGAAAAGAAAAAGGAAAAAAGGACAAATTTCGGAAGGATCTGATCGATCTTTCACAATCACTTTGTCAACTTTTTTCTTCTTTATAAAATTCAAGAGAAAAAAAAAAAAAGGAAAAACAAAGAAAAGGTATTCGATAAAATTTATAATTTTGTTTTTCTTTCTTTTTTTTTCTTCTTCTTCTTCTTCTTTTTCTTCTTCTTCTTATCAACAGAATAATTTCGATCAATTTACGAGTAAACAATATCTATTCTTTGTATTATAACATACTACACGTAATAGTATTAACAGAGTGCTAAATGGCAGAAAATTATTGCTAATTGCGATGGTTTTGTTATCGATACCAACCGCAGATCTTTAATCCACATATTCAAATGACATTTTTCTTGGATATAAAACGAATGCAATATCGAGTGATCCGAGTGTTTCTTGGTTGTGCGGTTGAAAATGAGCACCTTCCTTTATCGTTACTTTTATCGATTCCCATCTTTGATATCTTCTACACGATCTTCGTCAACGCGACATTTCGTATTAACGAAGATAAGAAAAGATAAAAATAGAAGAAAACGAAAAAGAAAACAAACAAAAAAAAAACAAAAAAGAAAAAAAAAGATCTAAAAATATCATCGTCTCTAACTGTGACTATAGAACAAATAGATATAATAAATTTTTCCATGAAATCTTTATATATATATATATATATATATATATATATATATATATATCTTTCTTTTCATTCGTGGAAACCAATTGATTTAATAAGAAAGACACACACACACACACACACACACACACACACATATATATATGTGTGCAAAAAGTTAAAAAATCAATACGACAGATAAAAGCGATAGAAATAATCGTGAAAAAAAAAAGGAAAAGAAAAAAAAAAAGAAGAAAAAGATCAATAAAATTTATTTCTTTTTTTTTTTTCTTTTTTTTTTCGATAAAGAGAAAGGGAAAGAGAGGGAGATAGATATCGAAGTAAAAAGATACGAGATATTTCAGATAGTTGAGGTTTAAACCGCATGGAACTTTATTCGACGACGAAAATTTCATTAATCCAAGTCGTAAATCAAATTCCTTGTGATGGCGCGTCCTTCGTCTTCTTCTTCCTCGTCTTCTTCATCTTCTTGTCTGATAAGTTCACGAATGAACGAACGAACTAACGAGGAACCGAACAATTAAATTCCTTGCGTCCTCGGTTAAAGGACAAAGTTATCGCAGAACGATCCATCGAATCGAGAATATCTTATATACATATGTATGTATGTACGTATGTATGTACTTATATAAATATAGATATCTGAAAATCGAAGAGAGACAGAAACAGAGAAAAAAAGAGAGAGAGAGAGAGAGAGAGAGAAAGAGAGAGAGAGAGAGAGAGATTATGTTCTCCATTTCCATTGAAACGTTTTTCTTGTATCTCGGTATTATCTTTTGTATCATTCTATACCGAGTAGTTTCTTTATAAAATTAATCCCGAGTAAACGTTTAATATATATATATATATATATAATTTTTTTTAAATAGATTACCTTTTTTAAACACAGTTTAATTAATCTAAATACATACTTCGGGAGAGAAAAAAAGAAAGATAAAGATAAAAGAAGATAGGAGAAAATAAAAGGAAATAGATAACATATATATATATATATTTTTTTGTATGTTTATGCATAGAAAAAAAAAAAAAGAAAAGAAAAAAAAAAAAGAACTTTCAAGATACAGAAAAAACATTCTTGCTTTACAGATACGTTTCGTCTTTCTAATTGTCGTGTCTATTTTCATCTTGTCTCTCGTTTACAAGAGAAACGAATAAATACTTTTTCTTCGTCTCCTTCTTCTCCACCTCCTCCTCCTCCTCTCCTCTATTCTCCTCTTTTCCTCCTCTTCTTCTTTCTCACTTGCCAACGCTATTGTAATTAATTAGCAGTCAAGAAAGACAGCTGTGTCGATCAACAGACCTTATCTTTTCTCTCTCCCTCCCTCTCTCTTTTTATCATCCCAATTATAGCGATACACGCAAAAGCTGCTTAGAGAGAGAGAGAGAGAGAGAGAGAGAGAGAGACAGAGAAAGAGAGAGAGAAAGAGTGAGAGGGAGGAAGGGGAGGAAGAGAGGGAAAGAGTATAGATAGAAAGAATAAGAACGATGGCTACTCAGTCGTCTTGTGCAATTACAGGAGCAGCCCGATAAAATACGATAGATCGACATCTAGCACGAGGGAGAATAAGAGAGAGAGAGAGAGAAAGAGAGAAAGAGAGAAAGAGAGAAAGAGAGAGAGAGAGAGAGAGAGAGAAAGGGTCATGGACGAACAAATAAAATGAGACTAACGGCTATCCTCCAGAGGGTCCTGTTGTCTCCTCTCAATGGTCCTCTTTCTTTCTCCACATAATATATTTACGTATATACGTATGTATGTAAAGAATGGACCAAAATAGTACATTGGAAAATTATTATTTCAAATTTTATTCAAATTTATTCTTCACTCTGATACGTATGCTTTAATAAGTGTATATAGGTCTTATATGTAGTAATACGTAATAAATGTATAAAACGATTGGGAACATTTACTATATATAAGAGCGAACAAAAATAAATGATATAGTTTGTCTGAATGTTCTCAAGGGAGGAATAAGAGAATCAAAAAGATATTTATCGAATGTTCTTAATAATCGATTATATGTATTTTTATCTGAGACTTTTTAAACTGATTTTTATTATCCTTCCTTTCTTTCTTTCTATCTTTCTATCTCTCTCTTCTTTTCTTTTTTCTTTTCTTTTGGTTTCAAATTTACAAAACTACAGACGAAACTTGTCAAACGACGAGCCCAATTATAAGTTGCTGAAAAGGTTTCGAAAAAGAAAAGAAAAAAAAAAAAGAGAGGGAAGGAGAGAGAGAAAAAGAGAAAGAGAGAGAGAGAGAGAGAGAGAGAGAGAGAAAAGAAAAAAGAAGAGTTATATTGATTTTTAAAAAATCGTTTAAGAACTTGTGGCCCATTTAAAAACTTTTGGCACCACCCTATATGTATGTATGAGCGTGTGTGTTTGTGTATGTGTATGTATATGTGTATGTATGTATATATGTATGTATGTATATATATATATATATATATATATATATATATATATATGTACTTACATACGTACGTACTTTAGGTATGTACTTATGCAAGTACGTATGCATGTAAAAGGGAAAACCAAAGAAACGATAAAGAGAGAGAGAGAGAAAGAGAGACAGACAGACAGATAGACAGAGAAAGAGAGAGAGAAAGAGAGAGAGAGAGAGAGAGAGAGAGAGAGAGAGAGAGAGAGAGAGAGAGAGAGAGAGAAAAGAGAGAAAGAGAGAGAGATAGAAGTAAATCGTGCCAAGTTTTCTTCTCACCATTCGAGAGAGGATTAGGTAGGTACTCTAGCTTTGACACTTCTCGATAGACGTTACCTTCGTGAAAGCAACATTAAGTACTTACATAGATATATTTCGATGTTATTTTACGTCCATCCTATCGATCGATTTATTTACCAAACTATTTTTCGGTTGGATAACGAGATGAAATATCTAATCGAAAAATTTACTTTCACTTTATCTTATAGATATTTTATTCTCATTATTTTATTTTATTTCTTTTTTCTTTTTTTTTTTTTTTTTTATAAAGAAACAATATAATTATCTTGATATTTGTCGAATAATGGCAAATAAAAAGAAAGAAAGAAAGAAAGAAAAATCAAAATGATGCAAAAGATACAGATATAACTGTTCTATACTTCTAATATTATATATATATATACACTATTATTATTATTATTATTATTGTATTTATATTTATTTTTATTATTATTGTCATATTTATATTTATTATTATTATTATTATTATTATTATTATTATTATTATTATTATTATTATTATTATTATATTAATTTATTAGGAAATAAAATAATCTTCGATGTTTATTTAAATAAGAAAAAAAGACAAATCAAAATGGCGAAGAAGAAGAAGAAGAAGAAGAAGAAAAAGAAGAAGAAAAATAATTATTCGATATCCGTTATATTTTTTAATAGGATCATACTGAACAATGTTCGATTTCTTATTTGTCGAACGTAAAGAAAAAAGGAAATAATGATCGACGAAGCACTCGATACTGATAAAAAGTGGTTGAAAAAAAAAAAGAAAAAAAGAAAGAAAAAGAAAAAAAAGAAAGAAAAAGAAAAAAAAGACTTGTAGATTCACCAGAGAAGGAAGAAAATGATAGAGCGCTAAGGGAATGAGGGAGATGAAAGTAACAAAAGAAAAGAAAAAAGAAAAAAAAAAAAGAAAAGAAAAGAAAAGAAAAGAAAAGAAAAGGAAGGAAAAGAAGGGAAAGGAAAGGAAAGGAAAAAAATGGAAAAAAAGAAAATCTCATGAATATATTTACGGTGAAGAGGTGTATAAATAAATGTAGCTCTGGAGTAGGGGGGGGAGGGGAGAATGGAGAAAGGGTGTTAGAAAACGCGTAAATTCGTTCAAGTACCTTTCGTTCATCCCTACGCCCTTTCCTTTTTTCCCACCCGCTTCCTCTTTATTAAACGTACATATGTATATTTTGAACGTATCTTCGACATGAAAA